AACAGGATGATGGTGAATGGTGAATTGTCAGGATGCAGGTCTTAGAAGATCCATGAGGGTCATACAGAAACCAGAGAGATTTAGGGTTTGGTTAGTGAGCCATGAGCCTCAATCTTTTGAGGAAATTGAGAATTTACCACAGAGGGAAAAGGAAATGTGATAAGATGACTGAAGATAAATTAAAGAGTATGGAAAGGCTAAAATGTATCAGCCAGCAAAATTGCCTGAAGAGTACAATGCTGTTGATACCAAATGGATACCAAATGGATTTTCAAACACAAGATAGATGCTGATGGCAAGGTGAGATATAAGGCACAACTTGTAGCTAAGGGATTTACACAGGTAAAAGATGTGGACTATACGGAAGTGTATTCTCGAACTGTAAACACCATGCAGTTGAGTAGGAAAACAATCCCTTTATTGAAGAAAATTAAAAAGCAGTAAAGTAAAAAGCACTTTAAAGAAATAGGTAAATCCAATTAGGTAGGAAGATAAGTCGGAACAAAGTAGTCCAGGGTAACAGTCCATCAAAGTACATGAAAAACAAAGGCAAAAACTTCTCTAATAAAATCCAAGAAACCAGGAAACATGAGTCCAAGGCATGAATATAAAATTATAGAATCAAAACCATGAAGCATGAATCTTCCCAAGCAAAGCTTCCAAGAAACAAGGACGAGAACTTGACTTGATGCTTCATCTAACTACATATCCAAACGATGCTTCATCTGACTACATATCTTGTACTTGGGACTTTTATGTCCTCATTAAGGTATGTCCCAAGTGCTCAGAAATTGGTTTCGCTTTAGCTTCGAATCTCTTATCTTTCTCTCTTTGGGTCACTGAAGCCACTGATCGGCTCTCCTCCCATCTATCTATTTGCTCATTAATTTCTGCAGCTGGGCCAGGTGCCGAACTGTTTTCAAGCTTCAAATCATAGGAATTCTCTGGTAGCAATTCAGGGAGCACACCATCATCCCCACACCCTTCAGGGATATTCTCATGAGAATTCTCATTGCTATCCAAAGCAGTCCAAGTCCGGTCCAATAAAGCTTGTCTTTCCCAATAAACAAAGTATTCTGTGAACGCCTGATTCCATAACCAGGATTTAAGCTTCTTCCGGAAAGTCAGGAGGGAGGGGGCAGATCTAACCTCATTGGGGAGGGAGTTCCCCACCAAATGCAACTGTAATGCCGGTGGGACCAAGAGCAGGGCCTCCCTGGATGATCTTAAGGTCCTAGACAGTTCGTAGGGGGAGATATGTTTGGACAGATAAACTGGGCCAGAACTGTATAGGGTTTTATAGGTGAGCACCAGCACTTTGAATTGAGCCCGGAAGCTAATAGGCAGCCAGTGGAGCTGGTGTAGCAAGGGAGTTGTACACTCCCTGTACCCTGTACCCTGCTCCCGTGAGTTGCTTATTCCAGTGTGTACCTACTATCCCACACTCCCCACATGCTATTCCTAGGAAATATGCCTAATTCACACACACACACACACACACACACATATATATATAGACAGCATCACATAATGCTTATGTGAGGCTGCCCTGAGTCCCCCTTGCGGGGAGAAGGGCGGGGTAGAAATGCATTAAATAAATAAATAATATACCAAAAGGGCTAGGCAATTTTGTGTAACTGTGCAGGATAAGGAGATTAAATAAAAGTCTTTCCCAAACAAAGACTCACCTGATGACATGCATTCCCAGATGTCAGACAGGCTAAGCAATGTGTGCACAGGGCCAAGGGCTGATATATAGATAGATACACACACACACACGTATGTGTATATTGGAGATTCCTTCTGAGGCAAACACTAAACAGTGATGTACACACATGCACACACAAAGACACCAGGTAAGTAATGCGTTTTGTGTATATGCACCTGTTGGAAGGCTGAAAGTTAAAGAAATACACAGGCTATGTAATTCTGTGAATATGCACAGGTTTGTGAGTCAGATACAAGAAATTTACATGCTGCAGAAAAATTATAAAAATAGAACACCTGGCCAGGTGGGTATCGTACCCAAGAAAGCCCTCTTGCGTGTCCTTTTCCTGTTGGAAGAACAAAGCAGAACCTTCATGTTGTGGTTCAGCCAGACGCTGATGAGGGGTTTGGGAATTCAGGGCCTGATGGTTCTGTAGGTGAGCAAACAGAGGGGGCTTTGGAGCAAGATGGTTCTGTAGATGAGGGAACGGAGGGGGTTTAGGAGCAAGATGCTGTTGCTGAAACAGAGTGTGAAAGTGGAACTGTTTTGGACTCCAACAGGCAGGGAGAGGAGGATAACATTAAATCATCCAAGGGAGCAGCTGGCTTAGACAGAGATACCTTGCTGCTTCTGAGGGGCAGACATTCAGATGCAGGAAATCAGAAAGAATCCACAAGGAGAGGCAGAAGCTGTCCTCTCAAGGTCGAAGGAATGTGTTCATGTTTTGCAGTCCTTAGTGAGAGAGCTGTTGGGATTTTGGATCAAGCAATTTTGGAGTGAAGAATTCCTGTCTCAGGCCTTTGTTCAAGACCCAAGATTCATGCTCATGTTTTGCTCTTTGTTCTTTGGATATACCTTTGGGTTCATGCTCATGTTTTGTTCCTTGTTTCTTGGACTTATTTTGGAATTAATGTTCATGTTTTGATCTTTGTTTTCTGGATTTAACTATTGCCTTTGGGGCTTCCTTCCTTCATTAACTCTTGGATTTTTACCCTTCTATTTGCTTATGGCGACTTTCCCCTTTTTATATGGGCTTTTATCAATAAACGGTTTATTACCATGTTTGGTTTCTTGGTGAGTGTTGGAAGCAAGGTGAACTCCTGGTGAGTTGCAACACTGCAGTAGTCACATGTACAAGGGACGGAGAAAGATGCTATAGAAAGGAAAACCTGGGCGAAAGCTTATGATCCTTTCTTTTAGGTGTTTAGGTCCCGAGGACAGGAATACAGTGTTCCCTCGCTACTCACGGTTCGCTTATTGTGGAATTGTTTTTTGCGGATTTAAAAAAATATTAATTTAAAATATATATCATGGTATTTTTGCTGTTTTGTGGGGTTTTGCCGCCGCCGCTCTCCGAGGCACTTTCCCTCCTCAGTCCTGCCTCCCTCCAGCCTTGAAGGGCCTTTCCTTCCTTTCCTTCACTTTATTTTAAGTTTATAAAGACTTAAAATAGTGTATAAATATTAAAATAAATGCAGAATCCCTACATCGTGGTTTTTCACTTATTGAGGGAGGTCCTGGAACCTAACCCCAGCAGTAAGTGAGGGAACACTGTATATCAGCATATAATTTGAAAGTTAGTGGGTACTGACCGGAAAGAGAAGAAATGCCTTTTCATGGCCTTGTAGATAGTCTTATTCATAAATGTTCACGGGAACATAAGGCTACATTCAAGTATTCCACATTAATAAAAATACAGATTTTCCACAATTCATTTAATGTTTGATAGACTTTGGATGGACTGCCAAGAAAACGGAATAGCTGAAATGATTCAAATATTTATTGAATGAACATTTAAGTGCACAACAACAAAAACAGAATCAACGAATTACAAGGTGTTTCAAATTATGGGCTCAATTTCAAATCAGGATATTTCACGATGCCAACATGTTACATTTACATTAAAAGTTACAGTTTAATAAGTTACAAACTTTTACTAACTATTTTGAGCCAGAAACAGACTTTAAAATACTTCTGCAAATGAAGAATATCTCATATCTCCTTATGTTGCAAGATCGCCATCTTCTAAATGACTGAGCCTAGGGGGCTGTTTCTGCACTGGAAGAGGTACCTTGTGGTAAGCATTTGAAACTCTACGCCTCACCCTTTCAAGAGGTGTCACCACAAAAGGTAACCAAGTTCTTTTAGATCAGTGTTTCTCAACCTGGTGGTTAGAACCCCTAGAGGTGGGGTCATGAGGGGGTTTATAAAAGGGGTCACCAAAGACCATCAGAAAACATATTTCTGACAGTCTTAGGAACCCCTTTGGCAGAGAAGGCTGAAGATCTCTCTGCCTGTCCTTCTCTTCCTTTTTGGAAATAAATGGCGAATTCTCCCACCAAAAGCCCTCCTCCACTGTGATTGGCCAACCTCTCAGCCAAGGGGAGGGCTGTTTCTGAGAATCCAAGCGGGGAGGGGAGAGCAGGTGCGCTCAGCACATGGCAGCATGGTGCGCATGTACAGGTGAGGGAGAGCATGCGAGGCTGGAGGGAGGCTCGTGCCAGTGAGTCCTTCAAGGCATGGGAGTTCTGTTTGGGAAGTTTGGCCAAATTCTATAGTTGGTGAGGTTCAGAATGCTCTTTGACCATAGGTGAACTATAAATCCCAGCAACTATAACTCCCAAATGTCAAGGTCTATTTTCCCCAAACTATACCAATGTTCACATTTGGGCATATTGAGTATTCATGCCAAGTTTGGTCCCGATCTATCATTGTTTGTGTCCACAATGCTCTCTGGATGTAGGTGAACTACAACTCGAAAACTCAAGGTCAATGCCCACCAAACCCTTCCAGTATTTTCCGTTGGTCATGGGAGTTCTGTGTGCCAAGTACGATTCATTTCCATTGTTGGTGGAGTTCAGAATGCTCTTTGATTGTAGAGTAACTATAAATCCCAGCAACTACAACTCCCAAACGACAAAACCAATCCCCCCCAACTGCACCAGTATTCAAATGTGGGCATATTGGGTATTTGTGCCAAATGAAAATACATCCTGCATATCAAATATTTACATTACGATTCATAACAGTAGCAAAATTACAGTTATGAAGTAGCAACGAAAATAATTTTATGGTTGGGGGTCACCACAACATGAGGAAGCGTATTAAGAGGTTGCGGCATTTGGAGGTTGAGAAACACTGATTTATATGATCTCTTCTTTTAAACAGAGGCTGGATGGCCATTTGTCAGGGGTGATTTGAATGCAATATTCCTGCTTCTTGGCAGGGGGTTGGACTGGATGGCCCAAGAGGTCTCTTCCAACTCTTGATTCTATGATTCCCTGTGTAAATATTTTGATGTGATTACAGACTATGTAAAGAAGAGAAGCCCCTTCCATATTCCTGTCATTCATGAGTGTTTTCCTTTCTGTAGGTTGATAAGAACGTAGATGTCCAATCTGATAGTAGTTTATTCCACATTCCATTAGGATTATTCCCTTTGTGTGTTCTTTTATGCGCATGTAGATTCTGTGGATAAGCAAAACTCTTCCCACATTCTAAGCATTCATATGGTTTTTCCCCGGTGTGGGTTCTTTGATGTGATTTTAGGTATCCACCTTGACTGAAGCTCTTTCCACATTCCGTGCATTTATACGGTTTCTCCCCTGTGTGGGTTCTACGATGCACGTGTAGCTGTCCACTCTGTCGGAAGTCCTTTCCGCATTCCACGCATGTATATGGCTTCTCCTCTGTGTGGATTCTACGATGTAAAGTAAGAACATATTTCCAATTGAATCTCTTCCCACATTCCAAGCATTCATACAATTTCTCGTTTCTGTGAGTTCTTTGATGTGAATCCAGATTTCCACTCTGATTGAAGCTTTTTCCACATTCCATGCATTTGTATGGCTTCTCTCCTGTGTGGATCATTTGATGTTTCGCACATGCACCACTATCACCAAACATCTTCCCACATTCCATGCACTTATGTAGCTTCTCCCCTGTGTGAACTCTTTGATGCGCATGTAGATGGCCACTCCTACTGAAGTTCTTTCCACATTCCATGCATTGATGTGGCTTCTCCCCTGTGTGTATTCTTTCATGTAACCGTAAGTGCCCGGTTTGGCGAAAGGTCTTTCCACATTTCATGCACTCATATGGCTTTTCCCCTGTGTGCGTTCTCTGGTGTGAGCGTAGATGTCCGCTCTCGCTGAAGCTCTTTCCACACTCGATGCATCTGTATGGTTTCTGCCCTGTGTGAATTCTTCGATGTTTACTATACGTACCACTATCACTGAAGCTCCTTCCGCATTCGATGCATGTATACGGTTTCTCCCCAGTGTGTGTTCTTTGATGGGAATGTAGATGCTGTTGCCGGCTGAATTCTTTCCCACATTCCATGCATTTGTATGGTTTCTCCCCTGTGTGAATCATGAGGTGTTTGTTGTAAGATCCACTGTCACTAAAGCTCTTTCCACATTCCATACATTTAAACGGTTTCTCCCCTGTGTGGGTCCTTTGGTGTAGATTCAGATGTCCACGCTGACTGAAGCTCTTTCCACAGTCCATGCATTTGTATGGTTTCTCACCTGTGTGGGTTCTTTGATGTAATTTTAGGTGTTCTTGGCGAATGAAATCCTTTCCACATTCCATGCAGTTGTATGGTCTGTGTCCTGTATGGAGTCTCATATGCAGGTTTAGTTGTGATTGAGATTTGCATATTCTCCCGCAGTGCAAGCACTTGATTTGATTTGATTCTAACGCCAGAGGTTCAGAAAGATTAACATTCGGAAATACTTCCTTCTCATTTTTCACTTGGATTCTACTTTGTGTCTTCATTCCCTTTCGCTTTCCAAACTCTTGTTTTTCCATAATAGGCTCTGTTATTTCCCATGATGCCACAGCTGTCTCCCTGTTGTTCACATTCTTCTGCTTATTATATCCTTGGAAAAAAAGAAGATTTTATTAAGAGTAAAGCACAGAATCCAAGGATTCAGTCAAGCATTAATCTCAAGTGAAGAGAGAGGGGGGCAGAAGACAGTTCCATCTTGTCTCTTGCCTATATCATCAGTTAGGAGCCCCCCCCCCCAATCTTGTTCCATCTTGTCTCCTGTGCTTTATTAATAATATAATATAATATGATATAATGTATATACATATAATATTTATAATATTATAATGTAATACAATACAATAATAATACAATATTATAATTATATATTTTATATTGTATGTAATATTACTAATAATATTACAATATAATGGTATAGTACAATATAGTAATATATAATGCTTATATTGCACTATGCTAATAATATAATATATTGTATGTATATATATCTGTATATAAGCCGCTCTGAACCCCTTCGGGGTGAGAAACAAAAGAAAAGAAAGACAACAATTAAATAGAGATCTGTATTTTGGAAGGTGTGCTTGTGTGCCTGTGCCTTGCTCTGAGGCTGAGAGACTGTGACTCTCAAGAAAAGGGTAGCTAAAGAAAAACAAAGGAAGAGGAGAAAGGTCTGAGGAAAGCATGGCCAGAAGGAAAAAGAAGGGAAGAGAAAGAGAAGTGGAAAGGGGATGAAAAGGAGGAGGGGAAGGAAGGAAGGAAGGAAAGGGGGGGAAAGAGAAGGAAGGGAAGGAAGAAGGAAGGAAAGGAAAGGAAGGAAGAGAAGGAAAGAAGGAGGAGGGAGGAGAAGGGAGGGAGGGAGGGAGGGAGGGGGAGGAAAGGGAGGAAGAAAGAAAGAAAGAAAGAAAGAAAGAAGAAAAAGAAAGAAAAGAAAGAGAAGGGAGGAAGGAAGAAAGAAGGAAGAATGAAGGAAGGAAAAAAAGGAGAAAAGAAGGGAGGGAGGGAGAAGACAGAAAAGAAAAGAAAAGAAAGGGGAAGGAGGAGGAGAGGTGTATGACGGAAGAAAGAAAGAAAGAAGAAAAAGAGAACGGAAGAAAGAAAGAAAGAAAAAAAGAAAGAAAGAAAGAGAGGGAAGAAGGAGAGAAGGAAAAAAGAGAGAAGGACAAGATGTGTGAGGGAAAGAGTGGAAGAAAAGGAAGAGCCAATATTGGGCATCTAGGTTAGTATTTTTATAAAAGCAGAGATAATCTTACCCAGAGAGGCCACGCTGATACAATCCTCCATTGTGACTTCTACACACAGAGCCCACAGGACACACAACTCCTTCTCGGTGAAATACACAGCCGACTCAAAGCATGCTGAAAGCATAGAGATGAAACAGGAAACATCACAAGTTGGTAGTTTTACATGGCCCTTAGCCTTCTCTACCAAAGAGAGCAGGCATCTCACCAAACTACAACTCCTAAGATTCCATAGCTTAGAACTATGGAAGTTAATATTGTGTCAAGCTGCATTAATTCCACATTGAAGATGCACCCATAACCTTCTTGTAGAAAATGAATCAGATCCTATGGTAAAAGAAATACCTTCGTAGCTGCAGGAGATATGCTCCCAACCAGACCACTAATTACCTGAAAGGGCACCTACAACCAAATACCATTCAATCACATGACTTTTAGTCCTAGCAAAAGGACCGGGAAATTCCATAGGGAGACCAAGGTGCTTGTTTATAAAGCTATCATCCTCCCAACCCTGCTATACACTTGCTTGTCTATAGATGTAATACGCAACTTCTGGAACGATTCCATCAGCATTGCCTCCGAAATTTTGGGAATACGTATTTTGGGAATACAGGCAGACAAATGTCAGCATGCTGGAAGAAACAAAGACCACCAGTACCGAAGTGATGCTCCTACGCCATCAACTCCGCCGGACCAGCCACATTGTCTGAATGCCAGATCACTGTTACTATACTCCCAACTCAAGAACGGGAAACATAATGTCAGTAAACAGGAAAAGAGATTGAAAGATGGGCTTAAAGCCAACCTTAAAAACTGTGGCATAGACACTGAGAACTGGGAAGTCCTGGCCCTTGAGCGCTCTAACTGGAGGTCACCTGTCACAGGTCACCAGCAGTGCTGCAGAATTCGAAGAGGCACGAATGGAGGGCAAAAGAGAGAAACATTCCAAGAGGAAGGTGCATCAAGCCAACCCTGACCAGGACTGCCTTTTGCCTGGAAACCAATGCCTTCACTTGTGGGAGAGAATGCGGGTCAAGAATAGGGCTCCACAGCCACCTACAGACCCACCGCCAAGACACCATATCTGGAAGACCATCATCTTCGAGCTACGAGGGATTTCCTAAATAAGTATGTAAGCTGTTCAGCAGTGGAACTCTCTGCCCCGGAGTGTGGTGGAGGCTCCTTCTTTGGAAGCTTTTAAACAGAGGCTGGATGGCCATCTGTCAGGGGTGATTTGAATGCAATATTCCTGCTTCTTGGCAGGGGGTTGGACTGGATGGCCCATGAGGTCTCTTCCAACTCTATGATTCTATGATTCTATGTAAGTAAAAGGAAGTAAAGTAATCAAGTAAAGCACTAACAGGAAGGAGACAACAAATGAAATATTGCCAGTAAGTAGGTAATGAAGAGAGCTGAGCAATATTGGCAGTTGTGTGTTGTAGGAATGGGTCATATGGGTTGAATGAAGGAAGATTAAGACACCTTCTACACTGCCAGATTATCTGATTTGAACTGGATTATTGTAGTCTATGCTACTATCTAATCCAGTTCAAAGCAATGTGGACTTTATATGGCAGTGTAGAAGGGGCCTAAGATGGAGAGAGCCAGGAATTCGGGAGTGAGGTTTAAGAGTCTGCATCAGCTAAGAGAATTAAGAAATAAGACCCCAAATTAGTAAAAACATCAGCTCTGGCCTCGCCTTACTCAACGGCTGAGTATGCCTGCCCTATTTGGCACAAGTCTGCTCACACAAAGCAGGTGAACATAGCACTGAACGAAACATGCAGAATAATCACAGGATGTCTTAGACCTACACCTGTTGATAAACTCTACAAGTTAGCTGGCATTGCCCCTCCGATGTCTGACAAGAAGTTGCTGCCAACTGTGGGAGAAATAAGGTTGAACACTGTGAAAACCACTCACTGCATGGCTATCAGCCTCTTCCCAGTAGACTCAGACCAAGGAAAAGCTTTATGAGAACGATCACTCCTCTTAAGGTTCCCCCAGCCACAGCAAGGTTATCTCTCTGGGCAGATAAACAAGGAAATCCCAACTGGATGCCCCCCACCCGCTCCATTTTATTAGTTTTGGCCCATCTCTCTAAACAATCTTTACAGATTAGAGAGATGACTGGCCAAAACGGCTCAGAAATTCCAACTTGTCCAACGAGCAGCGGCCAGGATGTTAACTGGTGCTCCTTACAGAGAGAGGTCAACCCTCCTGTTCAAGGAGCTCCACTGGCTGCCGTTTATCTTCTGAGCCCAATTTAAGGTGCAGGTGCTTACCTACAAAGCCCTGAACGGTTTGGGACCAGCCTACCTGCGTGACCGCATCTCCGTCTACGAACCCATGCGCTCACTACGCTCATCTGGAGAGGCCCTGCTAGTGATCCTGCCTGCGTCGCAAGCACGTTTGGTGGGGACTCGAGACAGGGCCTTCTCCATGGTGGCCCCCCGTCTCTGGAATACTCTCCCCAAAGATCTGAGACAGGCCCCCACATTGGCAGTCTTCAGGAAGAACTTGGAGACCTGGCTGTTCCAATGTGCCTTCCCCGACTAGGAAATCCCCAATACCAAATCCCAGAAGTACTTTATTAGAATTAAGATTGCCGCACACTGCACACTGCACTCGTCCTATAACCCTTACATATCACCTGTCACATCAGCACTTTTTAATCCTGTACCCTTTACTCTGGCCCAGCCTAGTTTTATTGTGTTTGATGTATTGTTTACTGCTTGTGGTTTTGTTGTTTTAATACTGCTTTAATTGTTTTAATTTGCTTTAGGTGTACTGTTATATTGTGTATTGAGGCCTTGGCCTTTGTAAGTCGCATCGAGTCCTTCGGGAGATGCTAGCGGGGTACAAATAAAGTTTAATAATAATAATAATAATAATAATAATAATAATAAAAACTAAAAAAAATGAAGTTTGACAGGGACAAATGCAAGATACCCAACTTAGGCAGAATAAATAAAATGCAAATTTATTTATTTATTTCCAGTATTTTTACCCCGCCCTTCTCAACTCCCTGGAGGGGACTCAGGGCGGCTTCCAGCCAGCAACGATTCAATGCTTCCATGTATACATAGTAAAATACAAAACAGAAACAATAATTATATATAGTTAAAAACATTAAGTCAATACAATTAAAATCTACTACAATATACCAGTCTGGTGGCTGTTATCTAGCAGAATTCTGTAGTCGGAGGCTCATCAAGCTTGCCCATAGTCCATTACCATAGCAATTGTCATCATAGTCACAGTCCGTATAGTTACCCAAAGGCCTGGTCCCACATCCACATTTTTAACTTCTTTTTAAAGGTGAGGAGGGATGAAGACAGCCTAATTTCCCCGGGGAGTGAATTCCACAGGCAGGGGGCCACCACCGAGAAGGCCCTGTCCCTCGTCCCTGCCAAGCACGTTTATGATAGAGATGGGGCCGAGAAAAGGGCCTCCCCAAAAGATCTTAAGCTCCTAGGTGGGACATAGAAGGAGATACATTTGGATACAGAATGGGAGACGATGCCTGGCTCGACAGCAGGACGTGTGGAAAAGATCTTGGAGTCCTCGTGGGGAGGAAGGTGAACATGAGCCAGGAATGTCATGCGGTGGCAAAAAAAGCCAAAGAGATTTTATTTTTTTTAATTTTAAAAATTAACTAGGTATGTTTAATTACACACAGCAGCCTTCACACACAATGGCCTTCAACCAGGAGCTTCTCTCACACTGAGGCCTTTCTCCCACTGAGAGTGTGAGAGGGCCTCAGTGGGAGAAAGGCCTCAGTGGGAGAGAAGCCCCAGGTTGAAGACCATTGTGTGTGAAGGCTGCTGTGTGTAAAAAGCTACATCTTTACATGTGAAAAGATTTCTCAAATCACTAGTTAATTCCCCTTGCTTGCTCCTTTGTTCTTCTCTCTCAAAGGAATCTCAAGAAGACTATATACCCCTCATTTCCAGGAACTAGGAGTTATGAGTGGGGGGTCTTCTGCTGCCATGCACGTCCCAACATTCCCTGTCCCTCTAGGAAAAAGAAATTTTCTCCTATTCCTATATCACTTCATCATCCCTTTTTCTTTCCTCATCCATTTATCAGTATCCTAGCAACCTGGCAGTGTCATGTAAATATTCAAAAACATTTAACTCACTCCCTAAAGACATCAGACAGGCTCCAACTCTGGCAGTCTTCAGGAGGAGCTTGAAGACGTGGCTCTTCCAGTGTGCCTTCCTGGAATAATGATCCCATAGCACTTTGTCCTCCAAAGCACTTTACATTTCTTTAGGTCTGCTCGTATGCCCTTCCACAAACACCAGTATCACCTTTCGTCCATGTCCCAGAAATATTTCCAATTTTAACTCTACATTTGGCCTTCCCACTGTTTTTAATTGTGTGTTGTCTTTTGATAATTTTGGGTATTTTATTGTTTATGTTTTTCAATTGCTTGTATTGTTGTACTGCCGCGTTTGGGCTCGGCCTCATGTAAGCTGCACCGAGTCCCTTGGGGAGATGGTAGCGGGGTACAAATAGTGCTATTATTATTATTATTATTATTATTATTATTATTATTATTAACCTACTGAGGCACTCAATTCATGTAATGTTACATGTAATGCTGCCCTGAGTCGCCTTTGGGCTGATATGGGTGGGATAGAAATAATGTAAATAAATAAATAAATATTGGTATCCCTTTTTATTTTGAAATTGACCAATAGCGGCTGCATTTCCCATCCTCGGCTTATACTCGAGTCAATATGTTTTCCCAGTTTTTTGGGGGTTTTTTGTGGTAAAATTGGTTGCCTCGCCTTATATTTGGGTTGGCTTATACTCAAGAATACACTTATTGCAGGGGTTCTGTTCCAGGTCCACCCACGATAAGTGAAAATCTGCAAAGTAGGGATGCCACATTAATTTTAATATTTATATATTATTTTATATATTTTATATATTATTTTCATACCCACGCTTCCTTATCCACTTTTTGGAAATAACAGGAGGGGGGAAAGTGCCACATTTATTCACTTTCCCTTGGGAATATATTCTGCCTTTTAAAAAAGCTGCCTTTTTAAGAAGCTTCATGGAGAGATGGAGGGGGATGCTTGCTCAATTTTCTTCTTGCAAACCCAGCCAAAGACTCCATGATAGTGTGTCTCATATGGATCTGAGCCCCCGGTGGCACAGTGGGTTAAACCCTCGTGCCGGCAGGACTGAAGGCCGACAGGTCACAGGTTCGAATCCGGGGAGAGCCTGGATGAGCTCCCTCTGTCAGCTCCAGCTCCCCATGTGGGGACATGAGAGAAGCCTTCCACAAGGATGGTAAAACATCAAAACATCCAGTCGTCCCCTGGGCAACATCCTTGTAGATGGCCAATTATCTCACACCAGAAGCAACTTGCAGTTTCTCAAGTTGCTGCTGACATTATATATATATATACACACACATGGATCTGAGATTGATTGTATGATATCTGACTATTGCTTTTTTGCTTGTCAGAAGTAGAAACTACATCCTCTGCCCCTCTTCTATTCCTCTTCTATTCACTCCCTCTTTTAAAAAATTCCCTGACATTAGTGGCTTCGTTGGCACCTCATAATATTCCCGTAATTCTATACATGATTTAGGAAAACTTCCCATTTCTTGTTTGGTCCAGAGCCTCTAGTCAGCAAGGCTAATTTTCCCTTTGGAACCTCTTCCTGTTAGAAATATCAAAAATTAACTAGTTATTTTTTTATTACAAAAGTGTGAGTCAAGCACTGAAACAGTGAGTAGGCCAAAGCCTGTTAGAATCAGTGGGCCAAAGCTGGTGTCCCGAGGAGAGTGAGTAGGCCAAAGCCTGTTAGAGTCAGTGGGCCAAAGCTAGTGTCATCCTGAGGAGAGTGAGTAGGCCAAAGCCTGTTAGAGTCAGTGGGCCAAAGCTGGTGTCCCGAGGAGAGTGAGTAGGCCAAAGCCTGTTAGAGTCAGTGGGCCAAAGCTAGTGTCATCCTGAGGAGAGTGAGTAGGCCAAAGCCTGTTAGAGTCAGTGGCCCAAAGCTGGTGTCGTCCTGAGGAGAGTGAGTAGGCCAAAGCCTGTTAGAGTCAGTGGGCCAAAGCTAGTGTCGTCCTGAGGAGAGTGAGTAGGCCAAAGCCTGTTAGAGTCAGTGGGCCAAAGCTAGTGTCGTCCTGAGGAGAGTGAGTAGGCCAAAGCCTGTTAGAGTCAGTGGGCCAAAGTTAGTGTCGTCCTGAGGAGAGTGAGTAGGCCAAAGCCTGTTAGAGTCAGTGGGCCAAAGCTGGTGTCGTCCTGAGGAGAGTAAGTAGGCCAAAGCCTGTTAGAGTCAGTGGGCCAAAGCTAGTGTCGTCCTGAGGAGAGTGAGTAGGCCGAAGCCTGTTAGAGTCAGTGGGCCAAAGCTAGTGTCGTCCTGAGAGAGTGAGTAGGCCAAAGCCTGTTAGAGTCAGTGGGCCAAAGCTAGTGTCGTCCTGATGAGGGTGAGTAGGCCAAAGCCTGTTAAGAGTCACTGGGCCAAAGCTAGTGTCATCCTGAGGAGTGCAATTAGGCCGAAGCCTGTTAGAGTTAGTGGGCCAAAGCTGTGGGGATTTGTAAAGTGACGCCATGATGTAATGGGTTGACTAGAAAGATATGTGTCAACAGCTGATTGGCTGGGCATGCCAGGAGCCACAGTTCTGATTAGCTGCTGTCTTTGGCTTGCTGCTGAGACAAACTGTTTTAACTGCCATTTTCACTTTGGAAAGTGACGGGAGCGCTGACTGGAAACAGCCAGGAAGAAAATGGTTGCCAACTCTCTGAAGCCTGATCATTTCTAAGGCATGAAACATATTTTAAAGACTTTTTAAAAGGACTGCTTATTCCCTCTGTTCTCTATGTGAATTCAGAGAGACTGATGTATATATTGTTGCCCTGTTTGACCTTTTGAACTGAAGTAAAGTTACTATTAATTGTTACAAAAGCACGAGTGATACTTTATTATACTGTAGGGTATATCCTGATACAGAAACTGTGGTAATGCTTCTGTTTATTTACATTTACTAGCCCTCACAAAAGCTAGTGTCGTCCTGAGAAGATTGAATAGGCCAAAGCCTGTTGGAGTTAGTGGACCAAAGCTAGTCCTGAGGAGAGTGAGTAGACCGAAGCCTGTTAGTCAGTGGGCCAAAGCTAGTGTCATCCCGAAGAGAGTGAGTAGGCCGAAGCCTGTGAGAGTCAGTGGGCCAAAGTTAGTGTTGTCCTGAGGAGAGTGAGTAGGCTGAAGCCCGTTAGAGTCAGTGGACCAAAGATGGTGTTGTCCTGAGAAGTGTGAGCAGGCCGAAGCCTGTTAGAATTAGTGGGCCAAAGCTAATGTCCTGAGGAATGTGAGTAAGCCGAAGCCTGTTAGAGTTAGTGGGCCAACGCTAGCGTCATCAGGAGGAGTATGAGTAGGCCAAAGCCTGTTAGAGTCAGTGGGCCAAAGATGGTGTTGTCCTGAGGAATGTGAGTAGGCCGAAGCCTGTTAGAGTTAGTGGGCCAAAACTAGTGTCGTCCTGAGGAGAATGAGTAAGCCAAAGCCTGTTAGCCTCAGTGGGCCAAAGTTAGTGTAGTCCTGAGGAGAGTGAGTAGGCCGAAGCTTATTAGAGTCAGTGGGCCAAAGCTACTGTTGTCCTGAAGAGTGTGAATAGGCCAAAGCCTGTTAGTGGGACAAAGCTAGTGTTCTCCTGAGGAGTGTGAGGTAAACCTCTGTCTATGAGAAAGCCGAGTATGAGAAAGCCCTGGTGTGAGAAAATTCGGTGAGAGAAGCTCCATGTTGAAGGCCTTGTGTGTAAATCCTCAAGTGTGAAGCTCCAGTGTATAAAGGCTTCTGTGTATAAAAAGCTACTGTTTGAAGCTACTGTGTAAGTTCAGTCTGAGAGAAACCTCTGTGAGAACGAAGCTAGATGCTCTTTATCTGCATGAGGAAGAAGCCCAGCATGGAAGTAAAGAAGGAAGTATAAAGGATTTTATTTGTGTTGTGGAAATTTTATTATTGTAAATAGTGCTACAAAAAAAAGCCTCCTATGGAAGAGATAATGTTGGTCTGTGTGTTTTTGTGTTTTGTTTAGTTTTTTTGTCACTTTGGGCTACTGGTGCTGGGTCACACTGCCACTAATAAGTTACTCTGCTGTACATTTATGGGGAGGGTCTTTTGTTATTAAGCCCACTCACCCAACACTTGCTACAAATATCTCGGCTCTATGGTTTGCCAATCCTAGAGGGAAATTGACAAGCTGGAACATGTCCTGAAGAGGAGGACGACTAAAATGATCAAGGACCTGGAAATAATTGACCCTATGAGAAACAGCTTAAAGAGCTTGGGATGTTTAGCCTGCGAAAGAGAAGGCTGAGAAGGGACACGATCACCACATTTAAATATTTGAAGATCTATCATAGGGAAGAAGGAGTAGACTTCGGTTTTTTGTTTGTTTGTTTGTTTGTTTTTTGGAGCAATGGGTTGAAATGACAGGAAAGGAGATTCCACTTGAACATTAGGAAGAATTTTCTGACTGAAAGAGCTGTTCAACAGTGGAACTCTCTGCTTCAGAGTGTGATGGAGGCTCCTTCTTTGGAAGCTTTTAAACAGAGGCTAGATGGCCATCTGTCGGAAGTGCTTTGATGGTCCATAGTTGGCCCACTACATTGAAAGCCAAGAGAATTGGAAGGTGGGTGACTGGAGCCCTGTCTAAAGAAACTACAGGGAGAAATGCCGACAATTTCCTTACACAGAGAAAGTGCATGCCTTACTATACACACCTGGCTTCTACAATGAGAAAAGTGTTGATCAGGTAGCCTTGGGACTGTCAACAACAGCCTTGGGACTGTTGTTCAATTTAAAAGAATTTTTTTTTGCAGACTTCACAAAAGAAACAGAAGAATTTGCAACTTACTTTGTCTCCTCGATATCTGCTTGCAGCCTTGAATGTCAGGAATTCAGGAGTGGGGATCTGGCAGATCTTTCCCTTCCGCTCCAAAGATCAGAGGTTCCGGATTAGTCCTTTGATGCCATAGCAGAGTCTGGAGATTGGGTAAACATATCCCAAATGTTTTATTTATATACCTAAAATTCAAATAACAAAGTTTGTTATTTTTGAGTTGTTTTATAAGTAAACCTCATTGTTTTTTATTTTATTGTCTACTAGCCTTCCCCTGCCACACGTTGCTGTGGACCAGTCTGTGTATATGTATTTTATGTGTGTACGTGTGTGTGTGTGTGTGTATGTGTGTGTGTGTGTGTGTGTGTGTGTGTGTGTGTGTGTGTGTGTATATATATATATATATATGCATGCGCTTGTATTTGTGTGGTTTTGCACATGCATTGTAATGTATTTCTCTTTTGTTTTTGGGCTTTTTAAGTCCCTTCCGCTGTGTTTTTCAGTGTTTTTATGTGTGATGGTCACTCGTTGGTCTGTTAGGGGTGTAGTGTCCAAATTTGGTGTCAGTTCGTCCAGTGGTTTTTGAGTTCTGTTAATCCCACAAACAAACATTACATTTTTATTTATATAGGTCAGGGTTCCTCAAACTAAGGCCCGGGGGCCAGATACGGCCCTCCGAGGTGATTCACCCGGCCCTTGCTCAGGGTCAACCTAAGTCTGAAACGACTTGAAAGCACACAACAACCACAACAATCCCATCTCATCAGCCAAAAGCAAGTCCACCCTTCCCATTGAAATACTAATAAGTTTATATTTGTTAAAATTGTTCTTCATTTTAATGATTGTATTGCATTTAAGTGTTTTTTGCACTACAAGATATGATATGTGCAGTGTGGATAGGAATTCATTCATTTTTTTTCAAATTATAATCCGGCCCTCCAGAAGTTTGAGGGACAGTGACCTGGCCCTCGGTTTAAAAAGTTTGTGGATCCCTGATATAGATTATTTCATTGGATCCCCCGGAAGTGCAGCGGGTTCAACCACTGAGCTTCTGAACTTGCTGACCAAAGGGTCGGCAGTTCGAATCTGGAAAGCGGGATGAGTTCCCGCTGTTAGCCCCAGGTTCTGCCAACCTAGCAGTTTGAAAACATTCAAATGTGAGTAGATCATAGGTACCACTTCTGTGGGAAGATAATGGTGCTTCATGCAGTCATGCTGGCCACATGACCTTGGAGGCATCTATGGACAACGCTGGCTCTTTGGCTTAGAAATAAAGATGAGCACCACCCCACAGAGTCTGACACGATTAGACTTAACGTCAAGGGGAAACCTTTACCTTTTAGGGGGCTCCGGCTGCCCTTTCCTGCAAAGGGAGGGGACTTTGGCCTTTCTCCTCATTTGGGTTTCATCTTTATCTATATAAGTATGTAGAGCACCACCCCGCAGAGTCGAACACGACTAGACTTAATGTCAAGGGGAAACCTTTACTTTTTAAGGGACTCTGACTGCCCTTTACCGCAAAGGAAGGGGACTTTGGTCTTTCTCCTAATTTGAGTTTCACCTATATCTATGTAAGTATGTAGGTCAGTTTGCCCGTTGGTACCACCAAGGCTCCTACAAGATTAATGGATCTGGATCAAGCTTGGCACACATACCCTTCATTATCTAGAGCAGGGGTTCTCAAACTAAGGGCCGAGGGGGCCCTCCAAGGTCATTTACCCGGCCTTCGCTCAGGGACAACCTAAGTCTGAAACGACTTGAAAGCACACAACAACAATCCTATGTCATCGGCCAAAAGCAGGCCCACACTTCACACTGAAATACTAATAAATTTATATTTGTTAAAATTGTTCTCCATTTTAATTATTGTATTGTTTTCAAGTGTTTTTTGCACTACAAATAATATATGTGCAGTGTACATAGGAATTCATTCATATATTTTTTTTCAAATTATAATCCAGCTCCAACGGTTTGAGGGACTGTGACCTGGCCCTCAGTTTAAAAAGTTTGAAGACCCCTGATCTAGAGTTTGATGATAAGCTACAGATATCAGATTTTTAGAACCCTGACATTATTATTATTATTATTATTATTATTATTATTATTAACTTTATTTATACCCCGCAAAATCTCCCAAAGGACTCAATGCGGCTTGCAAAGGCCAAGGCCGCCATCAACAACATAAAATGCATAAGCAAATAATAATACATCAAGCAAAAACAATAAAACACCAAAACCAATGACACCATGACACATTTAAAACCTAAAGGCCGGGCCAAATGTAATGGACAAAATTTAAAAAAAACTTCCTCTTTATAGACATCCAGAATGGAATCCTACAGGACAAATCTAGGAGATGTTGTAGGTTTTTTGGGCTATATGGCCATGTTCTAGAAGCAATCTCTCCTGGCGTTTTGCCTGCATCTATGGCAAGCATCCTCAGAGGTTGGGAAGTCAGACCTCACTACCTCTGAGGATGCTTGCCATAGATGCAGGCGAAACATCAGGAGAGAATGCTTCCAGAACATGGCCATATAGGCCAAAAAACCTACAACAACCCAGTGATTCCAGCCATGGAAGCCTCCGACAATACAAATCTAGGACACTCGACTATTTCTTCACAGTGGCATTCCTGCTTTTTTGAAGGGTCATAATATTAGTCCAGACATGGGCAAACTTGAGCCTTCCCTACAGTTCCCTACAAACTTCAGCCCTCGCTCCCTGTTTTGGAATCCAACTCCCAAAATTCCTTACAGCCAGTAAGCTGATAGGAATTGTGGGAGTTGAAGACCAAAAAGCCCTGGAGGGCTCAAGTTTGCCCATGCCTGGATGAGCCTGTTGTGACCTTGGGCCAGTTGGTCTCCCTCTTGTGCTTACCTGAGAAGAGGGTTGTTGTGAAGGGATCAGGGACATCTGTGCCCATCAGAACTTCTTCCTAGAATTGAAAAAAAAATGCATTAAAATTAGTTAGATTGCTTTTTCTTGTGTGTTTAGTTCCAACAAACTAGTTTTGAAATCTTTGTCACTCTAGCTATGGTTGAGATAGGCTTTCTGTCCTACTGGCTTGTTTAGGACCATCCCATTGATTTCCAGGAGTCTTTTAAAAAATATGAAACCCAAATATAACAAAGCTCTTCTTATGCTGCTCTAGAGACCAAGATACAGAGCAATGGATTCAAATTGCCGGGAAACAGATTCCTGGCAATGGAAAATTGTTTGCCAATTTTCTGTTGTAAACTGCCCTGAGTCGTATAAGGGAGATAGGGCGGTATAGAAATTAAGTTTATTGAGCCGTCCAGCAGTGGAACTCTCTGCCCCGGAGTGTGGTGGAGGCTCCTTCTTTGGAAGGTTTTAAACAGAGGCTGGATGGCCATCTGTCAGGGGTGATTTGAATGCAATATTCCTGCTTCTTGGCAGGGGGTTAGACTGGATGGCCCATGAGGTCTCTTCCAACTCTTTGATTCTATGATGATGATGATTCCACTTAAACATTAGGAAGAACCTCTTGATAGAAAGAGCTGTTCAGCAGTGACAGACTTCAATTAAGTGATTTTAGTTATTGTTTTAATGTTGTGTTTAAATTAGATGGTTTTAATGTTTTTGTCTTTTCATTGATGTATGTATACATGCGGGAGCCCTCGGTGGCACAGTGGGTTAAACCACTGAGCTGCTGAACTTGTTGACCAAAAGGTCGCAGGTTCGATTTTGGGGAGCAGGGTGAGCTCCTGCTGTTAGCCCCAGCTTCTGCCAACCTAGCAGTTCAAAAACATGCAAATGTGAGTAGATCAATAAGTACCACTCTGGCAGGAAGGTAAAGGCGCTCCATGCAGTCATGCCGGCCACATGATCTTGGCAGTGTCTACGGACAATGCCGGCTCTTCGGCTTAGAAATGGAGATGAGCACCAACTCCAGAAATGGAGAACAGCACCAACCCCCCCAGAGGCGGACACGACTGGACTTAATGTCAGGGGAAAACCTTTACATTTACCCTATGTATACATGCAACATTGAATTGTTACCTTTGTAAGGCTGCCTTGAGTCCCCTTTGGGGTTGAGAAATGTAGGATGCAAGTATAGTAAATAAATAAGTAAACAAGATGCTTCTGCCTGGGAGTATGGCAGAGTCTCCTTTGCTGGAGGTTTTCTAAACAGTTTCTATGAAAGCTGAAACAGAAAAAAGTATATGAGGAGAATGTGGTGGTGGGGTGACAGGGGTGATGGTGGTGATGATGATATAATTTATTTATTTACGACATTTATATGCCACCCTTCTCACCTCGAAGGAGACTCAGAGCAGCTTATATTGTATTATATTATATTACATTATATATATACACAATATTATATTATATTATAACAACAACAATAACAATACTGTTCCGTTATCCCCACAGAGGCCAAAAGGAGGCACAGCAAAGGATAGTCCATTTTACAAGGGGGGGGGGGAGAAGGAGGAAAACAATTTCCCCCATTTTCGCTGGTTATTCCCCTTCTCCACTTCCTCATTCATAGACAAGAGAGGATACCCAACAAATCCAACAAAGGATTCCCCCAGGCAGGAAGTAGTCAGACTTTGAAGCTGGAAGACCATTCAAGACTAGTCAAGTTGCCCAATGAAAATGAACAAAATCTGGCTGCCAGTATTTAAAAACTCTAAAATCAGGACAGTAAATAAAGAACAACACCCAGAAAACAGGGGAATTCCAGACAGGAAACCATCAGGGCCAGCTAACACTTCCCAACAAAGGGGTGCCGGGGTGATTTGAATGCAATATTCCTGCTTCTTGGCAGGGGGTTGGACTGGATGGCCCATGAGGTCTGTTCTAACTCTTTGATTCTATGATTCTCTCCAGACAGGAAGCAGCCAGGCTATGAAGCTGCAAGGCCGTTCAATGCTAATCAAGCTGGCCAATGGCAACATTCACACTTGCCTCAAACAGACAAAGATTTCTTTCTCCCACCCTGGACATCATCCCACAGATATATAAATCTTACTTCTTTGAGTCTATAATTCTTTCCAGACAGGAAGCAGCCAGGCTTTGAAGCTGCAAGGCCATTCAATGCTAATCAAGCGTGCCAATGGCAACATTCACACTTGCCTCAAACAGACAAAGATTTCTTCCTCCCACCCTGGACATCATCCCACAGATATATTAACCCCACCTGCCTAGTTTCCAACAGAACTCATAACCTCTGAGGATGCCTGCCATAGATGTGGGTGAAACGTCAGGAGAGAATGCTTCTGGAGCATGGCCAGACAGCCTGGAAAACTCACAGCGATAATACAATAGACCAGGAATCCAATATTTACCGGCTGTTAGGAATTGTGGGAGTTGGAGTCCAAAACACCCGGAGGGCCCAAGTTTAACCATGCCAAAAATAGACAATTTTGAATTTTGATCTCTGAACACACCCCCAAAGGAGACAACATATTTTTCATAGACTCCTAGAGTTGGAAGAAATCCCAATGGCCCCATCCTGCCAACAGAGGGCCGCCCAGCCTCACCTTTGCCCAGGTGTTGTTGTTTACAGTCTGGGAGTTCTTCCTAATGATTGGCAGGATCTCTCTTCCTGCAGTTTGAATCCCCTTCTCCATTGAGAATGTGGGCAAACGGGGGGGGGGGTGTCTTTCATTGCCCTCTATGCAAAGCCTGGGAGAAAGGGGGCTGCCTTTACACACACACACCCCAGACACCCCCTCTTCATCCCTTTGGGGCACCTTTCACCTCTTTCAGGAGCAAATCAGGGAAGGGTCTGTCGGAAGAAAGGAGGAGAGAAGAAAGGAGAGCCTCCTCTTGTCCTCCCAGAAGCAGCGAGCCTTGCTTCCTAGATAGGCAGAGGAGAAGGAGACAGCCTCATCTGCATTGTTAACACAAAGGAGGGGGAAATCCTCCTGGTTAATTATTTTGAATGGAGTGGGAGAAGGAGGGGGGGGGGGKGGAAGGATAACAAAATTGCTTCCAAAGAGAGGATTTGGGGGGAGGGGTCTTCTGGAGGTAGAAGCCAAAAAGCCCCCTTCTTCTCCCCCCCCCAGCTGCATTGAGTAGAGTTTGAGGGTACCCCAAAGGCCATCTAGTCCCACCCCCATTTCTGCCCTGCAGGAATCCACAGCCCAAAGACTTGCCTGTTCAGAGTGCAGAAATGGAGAGTACGACATTCTCTGATCAGCTCTTTCTTACAGCCAAGGCATTTTCCCCCATGTTTAATCATAATAATGACACAGTGAAGACACCTGCCCTTGCGCTGCGCTACTCTGCTGCTGAGTATGCGTGTCCAGTGTGGAACACATCTCACCACACTAAAACAGTGGATGTGGCTCTTAATGAGACATGCCACATTATCACGGGGTGTCTGCGCCCTACACCACTGGAGAAATTACATTGCTTAGCCGGTATTGCACCACGTGACATCCGCCAGGAAGTAGCAGCCAACAGTGAAAGGACCAAGGCAGTGACATCTCCAGCTCATCCCCTGTTTGGGTATCAGCCAGCACGTCAACGACTTAAATCTAGAAATAGTTTTCTAAGATCTACAGAGACACTCCTTGGAACACCTCAGCAAGCAAGAGTCCAAAAGTGGCAGGCTCAAACCCAGAACCTCAACCAATGGCTGATACCAGATGAGAGACTCCCTCTTGGGCACACAGAGGACTGGGCGACTTGGAAGGCGCTGAACAGACTGCGCTCTGGCACCACGAGATGCAGAGCCAACCTTCAGAAATGGGGCCACAAAGTGGAATCCTCGACATGCGAGTGTGGAGAGGAGCAAACCACTGACCACCTGCTGCAGTGCAACCTCAGCCCTGCTACATGCACAATGGAGGACCTTCTTGCAGCAACACTGGAGGCACTCCAAGTGGCCAGATACTGGTCAAAGGACATTTAACCAACTACCAAACTCACAAGTTTTGTATTTTGTCTGTTTGTTTGCTTTGTTCTGTCAGAAATGTAATATAATGGACTGGTTGCTCTGACACGACAAATAAATAAATCATAATAATATTATTAATCTTTATTTATACCCCACCACCATCTCCCCAGTGGGGACTCGGAGCGGCTTACATGGGGCCGAGCCTGAACAACATATTACAGCAGAATAAAATCAAAAACATAAACAACAAACATCATGTATTGTCGAAGGCCGGAATCACTGGGTTTTTTCGGGCTATATGGCCATGGTCTAGAGGCATTCTCTCCTGACGTTTCGCCTGCATCTATGGCAAGCATCCTCAGAGGTAGTGAGGCCTGTTGGAACTAGGAAAAGGGGTTTATATATCTTATTTGAGAACACAGAAATGCTGGACCACTCTCACAACCACCATGTCAGACTACACAGAGAAGCCATTGAAATCCACAAGCATGTGGACAATTTCAACAGAAAGGAGGAAACCATGAAAATGAACAAAATCTGGCTACCAGTATTAAAAAACTCTAAAATTACAACAGCACAACAGAGAGGAAACAAACAAGGACATCTAATCACCTCTCAATAAAAGTTTGCTCCAGGCACTGCCAGGCAATCAAATGCTAATCAAGGTGGTCAGTTGAAACATTCATACCCAGCTCCAGCAGACAAGAGTCCTTTGTCTCACCCTGGTCATTCCACAGATATATAAACCTTTTTTCCTAGTTCCAACAGACCTCACTACCTCTGAGGATGCTTGCCATAGATGCAGACGAAATGTCAGGAGAGAATGCCTCTAGACCATGGCCATATAGCCCGAAAAAAACTACAACAACCCAACAAACATAATCAAAATTACATAGGAAAAAAAATCTTCCGAACACAATAAACATGTTTATAACTTTCACAGGCCACTGCGACCTGCACGGGTGACTTGGACCAAGCCTGGCACACATAACCCCCATGATCCCCTTTACGTCCTGGTGCAGTTTGGAGGAGGGTGGACCACGGATGATGGGATTTGCAGTACTTTCAACCGCTCTACCTCCCACAGAGCACAGCTATGGCCACCAATGATAGAACTGGGACAAATTTGGCACACAGAACCCTCATGACCCACTTGACATCGTGGTGTGGTTTGGGGGAGGACACGCTATGGATGATGGGACTTGCAATACCTTCACACACTTCGTGAGACCATTAGGACTAGGATGAATGATGGACCTGGACAAAACTTAACACACATAACCCCCATGAACCTCCTCACGCCCTGGTGAAGTTTGGGGGAGGATGGACCATGGATGATGGGATTTGCAGTACCTTCAATGGAACACTGCAGCCCCCACAAATCACAGATCAGGACCAAACTTGGCACACAGATCCCTCATGACCCACTTTACATCCTGGTGTGGTTTGGCCAAGGATGGACCACAGATGATGGGATTTGCAGTACCTTCACCCAACTCACTTCCCACGGATTGCTGCAGCCCCCATAAATCACAGACCAGGACCAAACTTGGCACACAGAGCCCCCATGTCCCACTCTACATCCTTGTGCAGTTTGGAGGAGGATGGACCATGGATGATGGGTCTTGCAGTACATTCCCCCAACTCCTGAGACCACTGCGAACCTCATCCAATGACTGATCAAGACCAAACTTGGCACGCAGAGCCCCCATGACCCACTGGTGCGCTTTGGAGGAGGATGGACCATGGAGGATGGGATATGCAGTACCTTCACTCACTTCCAGAGACCACGGCAACACTCACCAATGACTGATCACGACCAAACTTAGCACACAGAGCCCCCATGACCCACTATACATCCTGCATCACCCTTATCACCTTCCCACTGAAACAGTACCTATTGATCTACTCACATTTCCACAGAAGTGGTACCTATGATTTACTCACATGTCCATGTTTTCGAACTGCTAGGTTGGCAGGAGCTAGGGCTAACAGCAGGAACTCACCTCGACCCGCAGCTTCGAACTGCCGACGTTGGGATATCAGACTACACAAAGAAGCCACTGAAATCCACAAACATGTGGACAAGTTCAACAGACAAGAAATAATAAAGTATTTAAATTTGCATATTTAACACACAAAAAAACATAAATGAGTGTGAGTTCTTTTTGTTAAATGTGCAAATTTAAAAAATGACAACAACACTTAGAATCATAGCATTGGAAGAGACCTGATGGGCCATCCAGTCCAACCCCATTCTACCAAGAAACAGGGCAATCGCGTTCAAAGCACCCCCGACAGATGGCCATCCACCCTCTGCTTAAAAGTCTCCAAAGAAGGAGCCTCCAACACACTTCGGGGCAGAGAGTTCCACTGCTGAACAGCTCTCACAGTCAGGAAGTTCTTCCTCATGTTCAGATGGAATCTCCTTTCTTGTAGTTTGAAGCCATTGTTCCATTGCGTCCTAGTCTCCAGGGAAGCAGAAAGCAAGCTTCATCTCACATATTTATAAATGGCTATCATGTCTCCTCTCAGCCTTCTCTTCTTCAGGCTAAACATGCCAGCTCTTTAAGCCGCTCCTCATAGGGCTTGTTCTCCAGACCTTTGATCATTTTAGTCGCCCTCCTCTGGACACATTCTAGCTTGTCAGTATCTTCAGCTCCCAGAAGCCTCAGCTGCATTGGCTAATGGGCAGGGATTCTGACACCTGGAGTCCAAAGAAGCCGGATGACCAGAGCTCGGGAAACAGCGTGGAGGCTGATCTGAAGCACTCTCTCCATTTAACTAACATGTTCGATTGCTGCGTTCCATTTCCTAGCTCTATGTGCCACTCATTCCCACACTCTGATGTCATTTCAAGCGTTGAGGACTTCAGCTCCCAGAATTCCCGATCACGGGCCCAAATGGAGGAGGCTTCTGGGAGTTGAAGTCCAGCGTATGGGAATCCCTTCTGGGCCATGTTTGAGGCGGGAGGAAGTCGAGCGTCAGGTTGACGTCACGGCGGAATTGGCCCCGCCCCCTTCCCCGCCTTCTGCGCGCTCTCATCTCCGCCCTCCTCCTTTATGGAACGCTCGGTTACCGTGGCAACGGACCGTTGCCGGTCTCGCGCTCGGTTACCGTGGCAACGGAGTCCACTGGCGGAAGTGGGGCCTTCTTCAGGCCGAGAGAGAGAGAGCCTGTGTGAGTGGAGGGGAGCTTTCTCGTCCACTCACGTGTTATTGCCATATTGATTAACAGCCATGCTTAGGTACCCTGGTTAGGGATTTAGTAAAGATTAGGGTTAAAATTCTGGTAAAATTGCTGGAAGAAACATTAACAACCTTAGATATGCAGATGACACCACTCTGATGGCCGAAAGCGAGAAGGAGCTGAGGAGCCTTCTAATCAAGGCGAAAGAAGAAAGCGCAAAAGCTGGGTTGCAGCTAAACATAAAAAAAAACAAGATTATGGCAACAAGAATGATTGACAACTGTGAAATAGAGGGGAAAAACGTGGAGGCCGTGACAGAGTTTGTATTTCTGTTGTTGTTGTTCATTCGTTCAGTCGTCTCCGACTCTTCGTGACCTCATGGACCAGCCCACGCCAGAGCTCCCTGTCGGCCGTTACCACCCCCAGCTCCTTCAAGGTCAGTCCAGTCACTTCAAGGATTACATCTATCCATCTTGCCCTTGGTCGGCCCCTCTTCCTTTTGCCTTCCACATTCCCCAGCATAATTGTCTTCTCTAGGCTTTCCTGTCTCCTCATGATGTGGCCAAAGTACTTCAACTTT